CGACGCGTCAGTTTTTAGACCCTTCGTCCGCTTCATTCGCGCAATCGCTGGAAGGAATCTCCAAGAATCACCTCGGTTTGTCTTCGCTCCTTTTCCCCTTCTCTTCTTCTTTCAGCGACCTCAAAAACCGACTTTCTTTTGCGGCGAACTGGTCGTGGATTCTCGTTCGCCATCGCAACAAACTTTGTGCGAAATGTGAGGAAGCGACAGTTTGAAAAAGCCTCTAAGAACCGCTGCATAAACCACGTGATCCCCGCATCCCGACGAGTCAATTACACTAGAAACGTAGGGAGTTTGATTGACGACCTGACAGCCAATAGATAAAGAGGCAGCCTCGTTTTCTATTGGCTGATGTTTATCTGGCTTCAACACGTCCACAGTTGATAAATTTTCATTCTTTTGTTTTTTTGGTCATCATAATTACAAGGCTGCTGCGTCTCTGTAATGGTATTTTAAACTTTCATTGACAATTTGAAAAAAAAAAAAAAAATCCTCCATACAACCTTTAAGTATAACGGCGCAACATTTTCAGTAACGGAGTAATCTAATTAATTACTCTGCCAATCGTTTCATTGCCGTTATTGTTACTGGGAAAGCAAAGCGGGATGTTACAGTTGGGCTGAATAAGACGGCGCGGTGTCAGGCTTCATGCAGCGACAGACACATGTTGCCCCTCCCGTGCTCGAGAGCGGTGTGAAGGTAAACCCTGGAAAAGGAATACAAGGGACAGATGATTTGTCTTTCGCATCTCAAGACTGCAGGGTTTATTCTGCCATAACAAATTATTTCTAATACATGTTGCTACACATAAAATCAATTATACAACATTTCCATGGCATCTTACAGAACTTATTGATACATGTTTAAAGTTTTACATTTATACATTAATTAATAACCAAACAAAACTGTACCATTTAAATCTAATTAATTACTAATTATGTAACTAACTTAGCTGCGACAACTTCACATGGCGACCAGCCCGTGACATCAACAGTTACACTGGCGCTGCACTTGCACATGAACTGCAACTTTAACATGTACATTCCGCGCTGAAACACAGTAAAAAGCTTAGACAAGTTTATGAATGGCTCATCCCGTGTCTAATAGGCTGCGTTCAGACTGCAGCCTGAAGTGACCCAAATCTGATTTTTTGGCTTCTATGTGACCTGTATCTGATCTTTTAATGACAGTCTGAACGACACAGATCCGAATTTTTCAAATGCGACCCAGGCCACTTGGATATGTGCTCCTGAATCCGATACATATCCGATCTTTTGACATGCGACTTCAGTCTGAACGGCCAAAGCGCATCCATCCGACCTACACGTCATTAACAAGCGACAAACGTCACTATTCTGCGCTGAAGCAGGCGGAAACCGGAACTGTAAAATCGCCAGGTGCTCAATGCTCGCGACCATGTTTGGACAACTTCCATAAACACAGAGCACGCTCGCTGCGGTTGACGCATGGGGTTGACGTCATCGTGTCTCCAGTGCACATGCGGGACACTTTCGGGCCGTTTACCGTTCACACTGAAGTCACAGACAAGTCGCATTTAATTGGAAATGTGAACGACCTCGCAAAAACATCGGATTTCACTAAAAAATCGGAATTGAGCATTAAGCCCTGCAGTCTGAACGTAGCCATAATGAACTCAAAATACACCCGCGCTGTCTCCCACTGACTGCATCTTTACAACTATGCTACAGCCTAGCCCGCGCTAGCCCAGTCTATGCTAGCTATCGCTTCAAAATGCGTTTTACACACAACTTCGCTTCAACCAGTGTACATATTAGCGGTTTTATCTCAACGCCAGTACTGTTTGGGTGTGACACACATTACTTTTTACCAACCTGGAAAAGGAATACAAGGGACAGATGATTTGTCTTTCGCATCTCAAGACTGCAGGGTTTATTCTGCAGCGCTGTCCCTTGGATTCCTAGCTCCTTCTACCGGTGCGCCCCCTAGCGGCACTCCACAGAAGATATCATATTTCCAAAAAAAATCGTGGGTGTCTGTTTTTTTTTTAAACTACTGACATTAACATATAAAATGCATAACTTAATTTAAGCTGTTTTAGCCGTTTTAACACATTACTATGAGCCTTATGCACACATCATCAGCAGCAGGAGCCGGGAGAGCTCAAGAGAGACCAGGGCCAACATGATTGGATAAGAACTCGGGTGGGTGGGCGGAGTCTCTGCTCACGCTGCCTTGGTGTTTCTTTCCCCACACACTACTAACTAAATGAGAGAAACTCAACAACGACAAGCCAGGGACATTCAAAGGCAGCGTTTTCAAACTGGAAAATCTGACACTGTTTCTCCCTCATTGAAATAAAGGGCAAGAATGTTTATGTTAAGTGTAACTGTGCCCTGGGGAAAAATAAATAAAAAAATCTGTCCATGTCTGCCTCAAGTAACTCGTATCTAATGAAGCGGCTCACATCGTCACATGTAACACTCCTCTGCTGTTCACATCGAGCCCTGGTACAGTTTGCGTGAGCTCGAGCCAAGATGGAGACGGAGTCGCTGCATTAAAGCCAAACTCCATTTTTCAGGCAATAGTACATAACATGAAAAATAACTGGATAATTACTTGGCTGAGCAATTATAAAATTACTTTAAAATGCCCAACATTGATTATAAGTAATTTTTACTTGAGCCTAAACCCTTTCAGTCATGATCCATGGGGTTGT